ATTTTCTTACTTTGTGCTTCTCCAGATGATTATTCTGAAGGGTACTATTTTGCACTTCCTGTTAAAACTCTGGTCTGTGACAGCTTAGCTAGCTGAATTGCAGAAGACAGGTTATTGGAGATTGAACAGAAGGAATGTGAGGAGGAACTACTGAAGAGTTTGTGTGAAAAGTATTAGGTGACTGCCTCTGGCACTGGGGAGGAATTAGTCTTTGGGAAATTAACTTTACCATCTGGCCAGAAGTGTTTCCTCTTAGGATTCAGTTTTACTTTGTGAATAGTCCATCTGTGTGCACCCTCCTCTTGGAGGGATAGCAGGCTGGAAGTTCATCCCAGTACTTGCTTTTTCATGCTCAACTTCTGTTGTCTGATAGAATACTGTGCTTTCTGGGAAAAAGTTACAGAAAACAGCTACATCATGCAGAAAGCAGAAATGTCTTAAATTAAGTTTTCTTGATTTCTCTAGTGCTGTGAGAAGGGATACAAGAAGGTAGCTGTACAGTGCCCAGTTGGTCTGTCCTGGTTTTGTTGTGTGGAGATTCCTATAACATGTGAAAATCTTGATTGTTTAAGCTTGCTTATATGATGAAAGAAGAGGAAGGCCATTTTTTTCTCAGCAGAAGAAATCACATACTGTTTAAACAAACACTTCCCACACACTGAAACAAGACATCTAAAGGTATTGTAAGTCTATTCCTGTATTTTTTTAATGTTTCAAAATTATTGTGTCTAAGAATAAATTATTTCTCTTTTAATTTATTTTGAAGTGCATACCTGCAGTTAGTTTTTGTAAGGGCAGACTTTTCCCTCTTTCTGTTAAGTTTATGGAAACTACATGCTGTGGAGATACTTCCTTTCACTGTTTTTTTGGAGGTGTTACCATCTTAACAGGAGCATCCTAACAGTGGACATTCAGGCTGCTTTTAAAACTTATATATTAAGCTACATATTCATTTAGGGATGTCTAAACCAACATACACTTCAGTTGTGTTCTGGACTGCATGCTTTTCCACAAAAGCTCATGTAGAAGACATTACAGAACCTCTGTAAGTCACAAGGTGATTGTAATGGTGTGTATTGCTTCTGACTCATGAGCTGTACACCAACACAGTGCAAGGGTTAAGGACAAGATAAAATCACTTGCTGCTGTTTTTGTTTCCTGAGGGATTATTGTTTTTATGCAAGAAACAGAGAGTGGAGTTCCTTTTGTGAGGACTGTGCCAGAGTTTGAAAGTATGGGCTAAAAGTGTTTCTGACAACTGTGATGCCATTCGTAGCTTTTGTATCAAAATTTAGGTACAGAGATCTCTGTTGTAGAAGCCCCATCTTGTGGACAAGCAATCAATGACTACTTCAGCACAACTGAGATTTAAAATATTTAGAAAATCTGAAGGTATTTTGGTATTTGGTAGCAATGAACTGGAAAGTCTTCATATTGCTGGACAATATGGAAACTTCATTCATGTGTAGAAATCAGCATATGCTTTTTGAAGACTATTATCACAGGTGAGAAACAGTGAATTACAAAGAGGTGGTAAACAGGGATGGAAACAAAAAAGTTGTCCCTAGAACTCTGCTTTTAGTCTAAGCCAGCTAAAACACTAACAAGTCTTGAACTGGGCATCCTGGCACATCCCTGGTGGTGTTCAAGGCTAGGTTGGACGAGGCCTTGGGTAATATGGTTTAGAGCAAGGTGTCCCTGGCCATGGCAGGGGGGTTGGAACTTGATGATCTTAAGGTCCTTTCCAACCCTAACTATTCTATGATTCTATGAATTCTCAGAATAATTTCCTTTAGCATTTCTAGAGTATAGTATAAATTTGCCTTTAGGTGGCAAAATCCTATAAAGGCTGAAGTATATTCTTTGAAAAAATTAAGACAGAATAGTAAAGTATGCATGATAACTGAATCTGGAAACTTGAGAAAATCTTTAAGGATATACTTGGTTTCAGCACAAAGTAATGGAAAAGGGCAACAACTCCAGACTCACTGAGATGACATACTTGACAGGAAATCATTAGGTAGGTAAAAAAGAGTGTGAAACAAGCCTGTGATAAAAGCTATTTTCAGATTTCAGTATGACATTAGTAGAATAAAATATATATTCTATTATATAATATGCACTTTCTGTTACATAATATACACATAGGAATTCTTTCTGTCACTCTGAAGCAATTGGGTTATTATATGATAGTTTTCTGTTTCTTCTATATGAAGAAATAGGAAAATATGATAGTTTTCCATTTAATAATAAAGGCTATAATGAAGTAGCCAGAAAGTGTAGCGACATCTAGGGAAAGCTTGGCAGAAGTACCTCCATGCTAAAACATCTAACTCCATTTTTTCCTTTATGGGTTGGCATTTGACAGCTATACTCCGTGCAAAAAGAATAATGTCTTGAGCAACATAACCTCTTTAGAATCAACCATAATGAATATGAGACTATGATCTTTATTTTAAGGTTTTAGAATGATCCACGTAGGAGTTTTGAGGGGTGATAGTCTTGAAAAGCTGCTCTTGACTAAATTTGCAAGGTAGATCTGTGTGAATTTTAATCAGGAGATGGGTTCATGCTTAAATCCAATCTGCTCTTCAAAAGCCAATCAACATCTCTAACTGAAAGCATAACCATTTTTTTTCCTGTGAAGGTAATGTCCCCAGTGAAAGTTTGTTTGGCGTGACTTGCTTGGAAGGAATGGCAAGAGTAAAAAGGAATATGGCATGTGAGTAGGGTGCTGTACCAGCCCCTGTGTTGGGAGGGGAACAGAGGTTGCTATTCCTCCAGGCAGATGTCTGACTAATAACAGTGTTTAAAAAAGAGACAGAAGTTCATGATCTGGACATTACAAAGTCAGGAAAGAATGTCCTAGTTCTTATCAGGAGGAGCCTGGATGAAATCTTCACTTTAAAGCTGTATCAGGTACAATATATTTTAATACTTAAAATTACCTCTAAAAGTAAGTGTGTATCTGCCATTTTACAGTTTAGTTTAAAGTAACAGTGTACTTCATATAGATTTTCATCCTTCAGTAATCTGGGAATTTCATAGCCACAACTTGTTCATAGCATAAATAGATGTAAAAAAGTCATTGTTTTTAATCAATTGACAGATAAAGCTGTAAATGCACATTACCAGCATATTATTAAAATAGTCTCAGAAAAACCTGCAGATGCTTAGTAGTTCCTCACTGACTCCTTTTGTTTCTCATAGCAATCCAAAGAAATAGAATTCTATATTTTGGTCAAGGGCATCTTTAAGGAATTGCCCGAGCCAGGGCAAAACCTTTGAGAAAGATGCATGTTCTCAATTGTGGCCTTGGTCTGTTCCTTAAGGACGGGAATATTAAGCCTTTAGCAATATACAGGACTAAATCTTTTACCTGAGAGTAAATTCTGCTGGAACCAGCATATGCAATAAAAATACAAATCTTTCTTAGTGTGAAATGAAGTCATGAAAGGAGCTTTGTTGCTCCTTTCTGTAGAAGGTGTTTCTTCCTCAAGAGACAGGGAACAGCAGATGCTAGTTTGACCCTCAAGGGAGGAGCATATGAAGTGTGAACAGCTACTTAAAATTCCCTGCACTTAAGTAATAAAGCATGAGCAATTCAACAAGAGGAGTACAGACACATTAGTGTGGTGTGAAATCTAGAGAAGAAGCTGTAGCCTAGGAAAAAAAAAATGAGTATGTAAAGCCTGTAATAAAAGGGTGTTGGAAAACAAGAATTTGTTCCAGAGATGTCCAGGGAGGGAATAATGACTGTTCCACCAGGTACATTCATTGTAGTACAGAGAAAAGGCAACCTGTGGTATAAAAGACAGCCTGTGTCCTTACTCTGAGCAGAAGGCTCTAGAAAAAGGTGGTATGAGTGAAAGCAAAAGTCTGTGAAGGAGTATGAGACACAGGCAAGCATTCAGTGGTACTTTTCATACTGGATTGTATTAGAAACTAAAGTTGCTTTTGTATGCCCATATAGGAGGAAGGAAGCTGATGGCGTCAAGACACTGAAGAGTAATCTGTTGTACATTCCCTTGCTAGTATGCATGATAAAACATTCAGTTGCAGTGTATCATAAACAGAGGGTTAATTGCTAAAGTTGCAGAGTAATATGCATCTCTTGTACTAATAGATTTTTATCAAGAAGATACAGCAGGACTGGGAGCTCAGAGTTTTAAGTGTAAACTTGCAGTAATCCACTGCAGAAGAGCTGTGTGGGTGTATAAAATTGATTTGAAAGGGAATGAAGAGGTGTGAATTGCTACTTTTTAAAGATAAAAACTTAGTGCACAGGTAGGTCGTGTGTACTAAGCACATGAAAACAAGTCTTCATCCTTCTCTCTTTATTATGCGTATTTTTGTAAAGGTTTTCTTTGGTCACTTCTAGCCTTTCTACTATTAAATCTTTGCATATTAAATTTTTATTGATATAAAAATGTTAAGAGATGTAATAATACAGATATATAAAGCAATTTAGCATTAAAAAAGATAGATTTTCAATGGACATTTGAAAGCTAGGCTTGATGTGTTACATTGCTACAAAATTTAATATATGCAGTTGAACTCTGAGCACTTGCATTTATAATGTATGAAAGGGTTTTCTTAAAACCGTGTCTTCATTATGTCATTTGAATTCCAACTCTGGTATGTAATTTTAGCATAGTACTTTCTGTCTGATTTTCAGCAGTGTAGGTTTTTGCAGCTAGGTGGGTTATGCTTTGAGCAGGTTCTTCTTCTTAATCAAAAGGAAGAAAGCTTTGCTTTACCTCTTCATAAACTCACCAGAGCCAATCCTTCATACCAGAGTTCATGTTTTATTGACCAGACAGTGTTTTGTCTTGCAGTTAACTTCTGCAAAGATACAGTGCTGTAGAAACTGTTCAAGAACAATACTGTTGTTACTGTAATATTTACCAGAATAATTATTTAAAGTATACAGTTCATTACTTACATTTTCATGTCTGTGTGGTACATGTATCAGACTGTTCCATTACTTTGCACCTGTACTGTGCCTTCTGCTCACTCCTCTTCTAGCCCTGTACCTTTCTCCAGAGCTGTGTTGGTGCCACATTCCTATGACCCACTGCTGCTTCCATTAGTCACCACCATAGGAACCATGTTCCCAGAGACAGATCCTGGTCCCTGTGTGAAAACAGATCAGCAAGATAAGAAGGAAAAGCCCCTGCCATCACCAACCAGCTTGAAATTCTTCCAAGCCTTGTCCAAAAGGTTCAATAATTCTTGTAGTAAGACACTTTTTCTGTTATTAATGTCATGAACATTTTAAAATGGCATCAGCCATTAATTACTATCACAACTTTTAACTCTATGATCTGTTTCATATTTTCCCCAGTTCAATCAGAACCAAAAGTTAATGCCCGTTGGCTAATTTCCAGTGCATGCCTCCACAGAACAACTGTTGCCTTTAACTGGTGGAGAGATCAAGGCTTGAACTGACAAAAGACATCTGTATCTTGGAAAACAAATTAATGTTTATGTTTTAATTTATAAGTTCCTGGCTCTTTTACGGTTCCTGTTTTTCAAGTAACGTCTCTTTGGATTCCTAGCTGATGGAGAGTCAAAATGGAAAAGGCCCATGAGAGAATTATCACAGTACAACATCTGGTCTGCATTGGAAAGAGCAGAGAAAGATATTCAACATCTTTGAGACCAAGAGGCAGCTGTGAGGCACTTTCAAAGCCTGTGAAAAATCGTGCAGGTTGTGGCCACCTGGGCCAATCTAGTATTGTTTTGGAATGAACTACTCTGCTTTCTAGAATCTGGATTTTAATCTCACTTCAGTACAGATACATGAGAGCTGGGAGTGGTATGAAAGGTGTTTGCTTTTCATAATGTTAATCTGAATCCCAGCATTGTCCTAATTATATTGTGGGGTTTTTTGCCAGTCTCCCAATTTTCTTTCCAGCATGTTAGCTAGGAGTCAAAAAGCTTTCTCAGGGCTTTTGGCATAGCTTTATAGGAAAAAAGGATGGAAAGGACTTCGTGTATTTTTGGAAGAATATTTTGCATCCTGCTTTAAACTATTCCAGAAGGTTAAAGGACATTAGCTACACTGCATATTGGCTCGGGTACTAGTATGTCATTAATGGCAAGTTTTGCTTTGTCTAATTGTTCAGGTTTCTTCAGTCACAGACTATGAGAAATGCAAGGAAATCATGGACCAGCCCAGGCTGTAAGGTTACCACTGGATTCAGAGGGAACAAAGTCCTTCCACCACATGAAACTTTGGTCCTTTAAGTCATCATAGTTCATGCAGAACATAAACAATTTGACATGTATAACAAGAAACACTGCAAATTGTTTTCCAAACAGGCATATACTGCAGATGGAAGAACTGATGAAAATTGTTTATAAATGAGAAACTAAATGTAGATTTTTTGAGAACAAGGTTGCTCTCTTCCTTGCCAAGACAAACAAATCTGATAGAACATCTCATTGCTTTAGGCTGCCTGAGGACCCACTGGAAAGTCTATGGACCTTTCTCCACAGTAAATTTGTGTGTTGTCAGTACATAAGCGTATTGTCCACAGTTGCAATGTGGCAGCTGCAGAGGAAGTGGAAGGTTCTCAGGAATACATGAGGGAGAGCTAGATTTTTGGCTCTTAACACTGTATGGAGTGCTTTTGGAAACTGTGGAAGTTTATGAGCTGAATGTTACTGCTACAAAAGGTTATCTGTGAGTTAAACATAATGGTAATTAATCTGCTATCTGTAGATCTTGACACTAACAACATGATGAAATTGAGAATTCCTTTTCTTTAGAATTGCAGTTTTCCAAAATGCCTTCATTCCTATAAAGACAGGCTTGTTAGAGGTTTTCAGTGCACAGATGTTTTTACTAGGCAGTATATAGTAATCCCAAACAACTGTTTTTAATGGGACAGTTATTTAAAAAAGCATGTAACGAGCATAAATACAGTCCCTGATACTGACATAAAACATGTATTAGCAAAATAATATAGTTTTATTTCTCTCATACATAGTAGGCCCTGGAAATATAAAACTAATCATGTCCTTAAAATACTGTTATAGCTGTAAACATCTGAAAAAGAGGAGCAGCAGCATCCTCAGCTGCATTAGGAAAAGCATTGCCAGCAGGTCAAAGGAGGTGAATATTCTCCTTTACTCAGCACTTGTGAGACTTCAGCAGGAGTAATGTGCCCAGTTTTGGGCTCCCCACAGCAAGGAGGACATGGGCATACTGAAGTGACTGCAGGTAAGGGCCATGGAGGTGATTAAGAGACAAGAGCATCTGTGATATGGTTGCCCAAAGAGGCTGTGGAGCTGGCATCCTTAAAGATACTCAAAACTCAATTGGGCAAGCTCCTAAGCAGCCTTATTTGGGTGATTCTGCTTTGAGCTCGGGGTTGAACTGGATGGTCTCCAGACATGCTTCCAACCTCAGTGGTACTGTGAATATTTGAAGCAGTTTGCTTATGTCTGGTCAGCATTTTAGCTGGAACTTGACTGCATAGGAATCCTAAAGAAAGCAAAGTCTGTAACCCTAGAAATACATCCAGATGGCTGAGGCCCAGAAAAGGCATAATGGGAGCTGCTAAGTATTTTGAATGTCTCATCAGAGTGATATTTCACTTAAAAATACAAATATAGAAGTGACTTGGGTCTTCTTATCAATGACATTGAATACCCAGTGATCACTGGTATGATCTCTTGTTTCAGCTGGGCTGTAAAGGGTAACAGCTTCTCTCTGAACACCTATTTTAGTTTAATCTTGCTCTGGAAAATCTTACCATATACTTTATACTATAGATGAATAGTTGATGCTTTATGGTGCAGAATTAATTTGTTGGTTTGTTACATGCTTTCTTTCCTTATTAGTACTGATATTAAAATATTGCAATGTATTTTGACACATTACTCCAGTAATGGGCACATACTATGTGTCAAGGACTTGAGAATGTCATCATTTGATCAAGGTAAAATCAAAATATATAATTACATTGCGTATTCTATGGCACTTAGTGTCTAACTATTCTTACAGCACCTTCAGAGAACAAAGATTAAATTCAGAAATGGCTTTCATGTTTTCATGACACAAATTCCATATAGAAAGGTAAAATAATGTAATTTTTTAGGTCAGCTGAATAGTGATAGGAAGATTTACCTTTGGTTTTCATCATGAAAACGCCAAGGAACTAACTTGCAGTGTTGATAGTTCCCAGATTCCCCTTTTGAAAACTCTTCGTCTTTTGTGTGCCTCTAAAAAAAAAGGGAAAACATTCTGGAAAACAAGAAATTAAGGAACATTGTACAAGGAATTAAGAAAGAAATAGATTATAAAGCACTTGATTCTAGTTTTCTGCACTCCAGAAAATGAAACACTAAGAAATAACCTGTTTCTTTATTATCAATATATGGAGTCACAATGGGTTTGACAGACAAGGACAGAAGCATATGAATAACACCTGTGATAATTATTAGAAGACTATAAATTTTGCAGTGGTTGAACTCATCCTAAAATCACAAAATTAAGTCTTCAGACGTAAGTAACATCGAAGGTCAAATACACTTAGCCATAAGTTGCTATCATCTGCCATCACTTTTCCATGACTTAGTGCTTTTACAGCAAATCTCCTCTGATTGCTGTAGACCCTGCGTGGGATGGGGGTTTTGGTGAGGAGAGTGTTACTTTAAATTGACACCTCTAGCAGCAGTTCCTATTTCTAATGTTTTCCTTTTATACATTTATAGCCTATTATATCTATCCAAGCCTGGCATAGCTCCAAGTCACCCATTTCTCAGTAATAGAGGAAATCAAATCTAATGTCTAATAAGCACAGAGGCTTATGCAACCTTAATTCGCTGAAAAAAAGTATTAAGTAACTTAATAATATTACCTTGTCTTTTGATGGCTAGAGAGTTGTGCACTTTGTTTCTCTGTAGACCAGATAGGTTCTACATTTGGACTACAGGAGGCTGGGTTGATCCACCATTTTCTGCAAGCTTTCTGAGTGTCACCTCAATATTACTCTCTTGTTGAAGGACTCCCTGAAACTTTCATGTCTGCAGTTTGGTGCCCTTCTTCCACTTCTCACTGTGGTAGGAACCCAATCTGTTCCCTAGTGCAAGGCCTGTGTACCCTGTATTCTTATCCCAGGGGTGCTGAGTGCTCTCACTCATTCTTCCCCCCAGGATTTTCTCCAGCCTGACCAGATTTTTGCCTCTTCCATCCCATTTTCTATTAATACCCCCTGTGGTTCTGTGTTGGTGGGTGCAGCATTGAGAAGTGCAGAAATCTGTCTTGAGACCACACAGATTAGGACCATAATTTCAGGGTGCTGTCTCCTGCATGTGTCCATTTATTAAGTGGATTTATACTGAATTTAAGCTGTTTAATACTGATTTAAACTGTTGCAGCCTTCTGAAACTGTTTCTGTAACACACAGAGTGACATAAGGTCACCGGTGCTGTGGAAATTGGTTTTGCAGCTGATATGTTAATTCAGTAAGAGATGAGTTCTTGCAGAATGCAAAGAAAATGATTTTAATATAGTGCCGTGCTACTTCATTGGCTTGCAGGAAAGAGATAATTAAAACATTCAAGGGAGATTCAGGTCTCTGGAGAAAGTACCATTATGGAAATACAAGGTTATTTTTACTGCACAGCTTATTAGCTTCTTTTCTAAAAGCAAATCAACTGAACGTGATGGACTCAAAATAACATTTTCACCTGCTCAGGAAGATGAGAGATAAGGTATTTCTATAAACTGAGTTCAATATAAGACTTGGCACAGTCTCTCCTGTGTCACTCACCCCAGGTTTACAGTAACCACTGCTGCAGTTTTCTGGTTGACAGCTTTCATTCAGATACATCCAGGGCCCTTAATATGGCTCTACTAGTGCAACTAATTGCAATGGGGAACAGAATTACATTCATGATGCCTAAGGAGAAGGAGAATCTCTGCACTCGGTATGAATAAGGGGTAGCAAAGGCCTAATTTTTCAGAAATAATTAAATTAAATTGAAAATAATTTTAATAGTCAATCCCAAAGAAAAATCACTAGGAATTTAAAAGCCCTGTATTTTTTCCAAACTGTGCTTATACTAGGGAATTACTGAGCACCAAAAGTGAAATAACTGTAATATTTACTGAATGAAGATACTAAAGGAAAACAATTTTACCAGCAGAAACTGCTTCATCTTTTTTAGATGAAGAATAAACAAAATAAAACTGAGTTTCTAAGAAACAATTCTAAAAAATCTCTATTATAAAAATTGTATTAGATTTTACAAGATATTTTGAGATAATAAAGGAGAAAATGGCATTTTACTCTATGTTCTTTCATAAAACAGGTACGATAGTGCTATTCCCAGAAAAAAAGACAACAGTTCCAACAAGAGTAGTGTCTGTTCTAGAATTAAGGATAACTTGTCAAAATATCTACATAAACAAGAAGGTTAAAAAGCTTAATGTGAAAATAACAGTCTCTTCTTGAACAGCACCCACTGTGTCCAGCCTATTCTGTTCCAGATGGCCCAGGAGCACAAACAGGTATGACATCATATCATTTTACATCATTAATGGAGATGTTTCCTTTCCAAACTACATTGTTATTTTCTGCCCAAGCTTTCTTTCATTAATTCCAAAGTTATTTTGACCCAACCATCTCTGTGTATGTTTAGCTATGTTACCTGAACATGATTTTCCAGTATTTTCTAGTGTAGACTTTATACAGAACAATTTGCTTAATTGCATTACAGGACATTTTAATAAACTAATTTTCAAAAAATCTATATTGATGTATATTCTTATATTTCCTGATAATCTGCTTCAGGGTGGCATTATTATGGAACAGACTACCTTGGAGATTGCTTTAGCTATTTTAACTCCATTCCTGTAATCCACCACAGTCTTAATTTTTCAGCTGCTAACTTCTCTGACAATGAACATTGTTATGAAACCAGTTATTTAAGAGAGAGTAAATTTGACTCAGAATTTCATTGTCACCAAGGTTTCTTTGTTGGTGCAATACCTGGAGATGGGGTTATTTTCAGCAGAGTTCAGAGGCTCTGCCAGTGTCTTAGCAGTACTGCTCAAACCCCTTCTGCTGAGACTATGCCGCAGTGGGTGGCAGTAATGATGATTTAACTCCTTTACTACAGATGGATAACTGCAAGAATAGAGAGGGATCTAAGATGTGGAATCCATGTGAGTAACATGTCACCAAAATCCAGTAAACCACAGCTCCTGTGTATGATCTGCAAACTCCATTGAGAATGAGTTTGCTTTCCTGGCTGACAGAGCTCAGTGTATCATTTTAGCTTGTCTGAGATCTTCTGTGCACGGTTTCTTCCCAAAGTGGTTTGGTTTTCTCAAATGCTAGACCACTTCTACTAAGAGTTACCTTAGATGTCAAGCAAGCTTCCCTGGAGAAGTTTGTTAACTATTTATTCATTTGGTTCAGTTTAGGGAACTCTGGTGTTTGCTGTAACACTCCATTTCAGTTCAGAATGGCTCGAGGGCAGTGGGCAGTTGTGGAGCAAGCTCTGAGGCTGCCAGCCAAAAACTTGATTTACTGGTTATTCCTGTCACTATAATGATTAATTGGGAAGAGTTTGCAGAAGAAGTGAGAAGAACAAAACTTGTGCAAACTTCATTTAAAAAGAGATACTAACAAAGAGAAAAAATCATCAACTGAGACAGCTACTTAAAAGATTTTTTCTCAATTGAAGGTTTTAAAGTTTCTGTGCCTTGCTTTTAATAGATATATATTTGTCAAACTAGAAATGGAAATGCTCCACTGAGTAAACTTTCATGTACTGCTAAGGAGAGTTTGGCGAAGGATTGTGGTATGGTCAGTATTAGTTGAAGGGCATGTAGTGTTTGGGCTACAGAGGTCCATTTGAAGAAGAGACATAAAATGAGGGGTTTGTGCCCCGATACTATGCCAGAGACATGGAAGCTGTTCATCCCCAACAGAGTTTATGCATGTGAGAACCCCGGGCAGGATATAGCACAGCCCATTGACAATCCAAGAGGGGAGTTCAAGTCTTTTCATCCACCTTCACTTTATGCAAGTGTAAATAACAAGTTGCATGCAGTAACTTTTTGAAGAGATAGAAATAGAAAATGCAATTCAGTGTTTAAGATTGCATTCTCAAGCTTACTCGCATAGGCACACATAGGATGGATATATTGCTGCACACAACTTTGAGAGCTGGCTCCTGTGCTTTACTGACTCGACTGTATAGTAGATAGAGTACTCATAACAGTAATACCCTGTTACCTCAACTGTGAAAGGTTTTTCTGGGAATCTAATGTAATGGCCAACAGAATGGAATTCATTGTTTTGTTTTGTTTTCCAGCAAGCATTTAAAAGATTCACCAGTTCATCTCTATCACAGCTTATTTTTCTTGTGGCTTAGCTTGGACACTAATCTGCCTGTTGAGTTTACATTTATGGAGTGCGACCTAATATTTTCTCCACACGTTCGGTATTATGGTTTTGATTTTGCAAGTCTTGTTGCTTGGGATACTTGCACAAGTCATGTCTGTTTGCACAGCAACGACAGAACTGGGGTTCAGATGCTGCTAATTAATCAGTCAAGAGGGAACAAAAATAGTTTTGAAGGCTACTACTCTTGGCTGATGCTCAGAAGGGTTGGTAAAAACTGTAGAGACAACAGTACACTGCTGGCAGTATTTGTTATACATTTTATTTCATAAGTGGATTTTTAGGATATTTTTTTAATTTAGTTATTTTACTCTGCTTTAGCAGTTCTTGTCTGAATACACTTGTTGTTTTCCCAAAATGCCTGCTCTGGTTTAGGTGCTTTTGTTGGCACTAGTCAGCTTTTCATCCATGTAGTAATGTCCACAAGGTGGTGCCACAGCTAAAAAGTTAGCAATAAATAACACAAGTATAATTTGATAATTCTATCACGTCTTTATAACTGACTGAAGTATCTGCATCATCAAATAATTAATAACCGGTTTATAAGCACATTGTCTGCATTTCTAATGATATCACAGCCTGTTTTTTAAATCACTCATGTAAGCAGAGCTCTGTCTGTTTGCTGTCTGAGTGAGAGCAACACACATACGTGTAACAGTCCAAAATCATATACAAAAGTAAGTAGACAGGCTGATGATGAATGTAGAACTGTGTCTGTAGAGACTTAAGACCAGCAGAGCTGTGTATGTCTTACCAGGGTTACCAGTGCAAACATCATGTCCACCAAAGTGTCTTCTCATGGACAGCACAAGGAAATGTATGTATAGATTGCTTCAGCAGTAGCACAGGAGTCAGCCTGAATCTGGACAAGCAGAATAGTTCATCCTTCAGCTTCAACTAAGTCAGCTTCCATGTAGTCATCCTAGCGTGGCCATGGCACGTGGTAGCCTCAGGGTTTTTTCTGCAGCCAGTAATAGCCAGAATCCTTATTTCCCTGTTGTACAATAATGTACAGTTGACTGTTAATTCCAAAGTGCTTACAGAGGGACATGCTATGAGAACAGTTGGGGTGGTATATGCAGGTAAGATTTGGTAGTAGTCTTTTTTTCTTCAATCATAGTTTAAAAGACAGCCACCCCAAACTGCATTTAGTGGAGGTGATCAAGTGTATGAGCCCCTTTCTACACAAGATCAGACTCGAGAAAGTAAAAGGCAATGTAAAATGCAAGTGTAAAATGAGGGAATGTAAAATGAGTGCACAAATTCACCACTCACTACAGAAAAAACAACAAAAATTTAACAAAACAACAAAACCAACAAAATTTACTGGATAAAGTTCTTTGTACGGATCTGAATGGCTATACTGTTTTATAGCAGATTTGCATGTCCCAGAAGAGCTCAAGTGCAGAGGTGCTTGGTCATTCCTCCCAGCACATTTGTTCCAGTCTTCAGCTGCCCTTGGCCACATGGCCGTGGTTGCTTCTTGCTCCTCTCAAATGACCTCTCCAATGCAGGTATGCATGCTAACCCAGTAAATAGTCTCCATAACATTCTGCAATGGATAGATAATTTGAGTCATTATTCATCACATTATTTTGTACCAAAAGCAGCAAGAAAAAAGGGTAATTTAAGGTACCTTTCAAGCAAACATTGCATTTGTTGTTGCTTCCTGCTAGAATCTCTTTTTAGTATGATAGACCTGTACCAGAAAGATAAAAATAACAGGTGTTGCTTAATGTATTTTCCCTAAATTGCTATATTATTATTATAAAGCACACTAAAATTCTGGTGGCCTGTAAGGAATTCAGTGGAAATTATATATATTTATGAAAGATGGTCTGACCCCCAACTATAAAGCAGAATGAGAGTAGAGGTTTATTGGGTCCAATTCTAAAAGTTGTCAAATAACACAACTGCCCCCTCTTTTTTCTTTTTTTTTAAGGATCATATTTTTAAATTGTATTTTGAAGTGGTTTATGGTTTGGTTGTTTTTTTTATTTGTATTGATTTTAGCATCTGTTTAGAAAGTCAGAATCCCAGAACGAGCTAAAAAGTCACTGAACAGGTCAGCTAGATTTAATTTGCAGTCAGTCACTCTGCTCAGTTAGTTTGGACTGAATCACGACAGTGACGTTTGATCAGAGTACTCTCGTAAGATTGTTCTGAGTCTATGGCTGCAATGTGTATTGCAATTAAAATGACGTATTTCTGGTTTAGTTTGAATTTTGCTTTTTCTCTGACTTCATAAAATGACTTTCAAAAATGTGTATTTTTCAGATGTTTTACACAGAGAAGAAAGAGTGCTCTATTCTAAAAGGAATTGTAGAGCATCGGAGACCATACCTTTAAGTCTTCACTGTATGTAAAACCCAGGTATTATCTTTGTAATTTAACAACCAAGATGAAATCCTGAACATTTGCCCTTGCAATATTTGCATGCTTTTAGGTTTTGCTGGAAATCCCTTAAGTGCTTTTAAAACATCAAAACTATTTTTCCCCTAGGTCTGGTTTTCTGGTTTCCCATTTAGGCAGTCATGAACAAAACACGCTTTCACCCTATGCCTATACCTAAATCTACATTTAGATCCCTTTAAATATTAGAAGGAGGTAATTTTCAGTGTTCTAAGTTTGGCATCAGCCTGAGCACGGCTCAGAAATCATCCTGCAGATGCACAGTGTTAACCGGAAACAATTTAGAATGGCAGTGGTATCCTGCAGGATGTGTGCAACTCGTTCGGCAATGTGTTGATTTACACAGGACTACATTATAGATTATACATTCTGGTAATTGTGGTATTGTTATTGCTAGGCTATATCTAAGCACAGGAAATACATATAAGCACATTTGAAGTGATAACATCCACTTCTGTTTAAAAAGCAGTATTTTATTCTTGTCGAAAAACTCACATAATACAGCATTTTCAAGAGAAAATAGACAATTTCCAAATTAGGACTTAGCAAGACTTCTAGGGAAAAAGCTGCTTCATTATGGGAGGCCCATAACCAGCATTTGCAAATAAATCCACAAACTTTTATTCTTAATTGCTTTTAAAAAATGTGGGGTTTTTGTATGGACTCTAATCCAAGATCAGAAGGAGACAATGCATTTCCATCTGAAAACACAAGAAAGATCAAAATAAATGCTTAGTGTGTCACCAAAACCACAGTACAAGTTTCTGTTAAAGAGAATGAGTAATACCATTCTAGCTATTAGAATGCTGTGAGTAGATAATAATTCCATCTGACTGGTAGGGCAGATTATGTATTCTGCAAGAAAATTATCCCATCTAAAGTCTTTCCCTATTTCATCAGCTCAGTAGGAAAGCCTACCCACCATACCCATTTACCTGAGGTCCCTCTATGCTTGCTTGTCTAATATTAGGATTCAGGAACATCCAACATCCCCAAACCTTTCCTGAAGTTCAGGAACAGTTTGACTCAGACCTTGACTTGAAAATGGGCACAGATTCCTGCTACTGCTCCCAGGATGTAGGATTTGGGTTCATCCTCAGCTCTGCAGCCAGAGATAGCATATAGTGAGGCCCCTCTTAGAGCCCTCCTCACCATTTCTCTGTAGAAAGTATAGGCTTCAAACCTATCTATGCACATAGGAAAATGACTGGTCAAGTCAAAGCTCTCCCCAGTTTCCCCCCTGGAAGGGGGTATGGATCTCTCCAGAATGACAAAATATCCATCAGGGATTGTAGGACAACCTCTTTTCCATAGACAACACTAACTGACAAAACGTAGTGAACTATTATATATGGTATGCCTCCTTCTTAGTTTGTTTCACCAGGGAAAATATGTTAAAATTGGTATAAAGTTTCCCTCTTGTTCCTCCCAACAATAGAAAATTACCAGGGAGAGAAAATAAGACAAAGATTTAACTTTATGGAATAATTAGAGGAGAGCATATGGTGCTCTCTCGAAAGGCCTTCCAGCTAAACTTCTTGTTTTTTCTTTAACATTGTGAAACATTCTTGTCTGTATTAATACATGAGAAAACTAACAGTAGAACTGTGAAACTGATTAATATATCCAAGAAATACAACTCCCTGGGCCATAGCTAAATCTGTATCCATACTGCAGCATGATGGCAATTGTATCACAGGGTATAAAATCAGAATTGGAGTTGGTGCTGGTGCATACTTTCCCTATTTGTAATCCTGGAGCTTGTAATACTGTTGCAGATCAATAACATCATGCTATACTGTGTAACTGACTTGTTGAAATGACAGGTAAGAGTGGGGTTCTAAATGGACACTGCAACATACAATAAAGGATTGGCCTACAAATGGGTCTAATGGTGTTGTGATAAACACAGACAGAAAATAGCCCAAAGGCAAATGATTTGCTTCACGATTTCATTAAAAACTTTTTATTGGGTTTCAGGGTTTTTTATCTTTATTATTTAACATCAAGAATACATTTTTAATTATGAATTCATAAATGCTACTGGTGTGACATTTTTGTGCTGACAGTCAAACTAACATTGAACAGAATTTCAGTTTTGTCAGATCTCAGCCAAACTTTGTAGTACTAAGGTGGCTCTAAGTTAATAGTAATGGCTCTAAGTTAATATTAATATGCCTTTTCTTGGGAAGGGCTTATTATGATATTCTTTTGGAAGTGTCATTTGCTTAGGTAAGCTTTCGTTTAAAAGATAATATGAAAATGTGTTTAATTTTAAATACAATCTACAGTATTTTCCTGACTGGGAATCTCTGTGCCTAAACTTGTCATATCCTGTTTAACAAAGGAGCAGCTTCAATAGTACTTACAGTACTTAATGATATGCAGATTTTCAGTTTGTTGCTGAGATCAGGGCTTTAAAAGCAAAGGTCAGGTAAAGATCCCTTCTTGGAGCACACTAGGATATGAGCCCAAATGTTTATTTTTCGTCATAAGTCTACTTATTTAATAGACCATTTATGACTTTACTTTTAATATAATTAAATATATTTGTATTTGTGTGAGTATCAGGAAGAAAACAAATACATATTCTCTGTTGAACATTCCTAACATGGCTGCAGCATGTGTGGCTCTTTCTGCAGTACATTCACATGGTGGCTTTCGTTAAGAGATGTTGCCTGCAAAAATCTCTCACGATTTCAAAAAGGGATTCTAATGCCTGTCTATTTCACATGGGAAAATTCATTTCATCACTCTTTTACATGACATCAAAATAATTGTGTCTGTCCTTAATTGTGACTATAGAGGATCAATTACAATGGAAATTAAAATACCAGACTCTGCATGCCATACAATTTGTAATTAGCTCGAGATATCCAAAGGAAATTCTGTAAGTTACTTTAGTCTTTTCATTTTGTCTCAAACATCTCAGATCTGTCTGATTTTGTTTGAGTTTATAAGAGCAGCTTGTCACTGAATTTTTGGTGGAAATGTGTATGTTTGAATTGAATGCTCTAACGAGTCCTCATCATTAAAATCTTCTGAGTTCTGTTGCTTGCAAGGAACCATGTGGAGCCCTGGAGCCCTTGTGACTTGGAATAACTCAGAAGTTTCATCACCTTGCTTGAGCAGTATGACATAACCCTTAAACACCTGAAATACCTTTAGGGCTTAAATATTTGGTGTAGATACCTGAAAGATAAGAGTTTCTTAAGCATTAGAAAACACAGAGTTTGAAGATCAGATTGAGCCATGTCTCTTGCATTTACTTCTCTAATAAAGCTGTCAAGATGCTGACCAGCTAGCCTGATAGATGCACTCTTCTGTATTTTGGGTAAGTAATTGACTGGGCCTGGGCTCTACTGCGTAAGTTATATCTGAACCCATTGCAGTTATTTTAGGTGACACAATAAAGCAGTCAGCATAAACTGAGAAAACTTTGTCAGTGCTTTGTCAGCATGCCAGAAAAAAATTCCTTGAGATTCAGAACCGAAGGTGTAATTTCAATTAATTGTCTGGATGCTGAATATTGTTAATTCACACTAGGGCTCATATTAACCCAAAACACTGTCATCTAGCATCCATGCAGGCAAAATTGTATTTCTTGCTATATAGAAGCCCATCTAGATACGATCCAGTTTGCTGTTCTGTCTCTGATTTCAGTCTGCAAGGACAACAGGAACAGAGGCTGCAGATGGCCTGGGATTCCCTTGCATTTGATTGTGTGTCAGCAGCCTGATCTAATTAGGCAAGTCTGTTTTTCCAGAAAATAAAATTATTATAGACAACAATATGATGAATTGAAAACTTCTCAAAGTTGTTAAATTATCTGGTTTTGAAAAGGAACTGTATCAAGCAGATACTGAGCAAGGCAATGAAGCCCAGTGGGCAGAGTGCTGGACAGGGATTGAGAAATCTGGGTTCTTTTCCAAACTCTCCTGACTTTTAAATGACCTTGAGCTGTCACTTCACTGTGCTTCAGTTTCACTGTGTGAGGAGGATAATAATCGTCCATAATGATTTTACATTTACTGAAGAAAGGATCTGTGTCAACCCTAGGCATTCTAAATGCAGCTCTGGATAAAGATGGACAGGATTTGGTCAATACCTCATGTATTCCAGAATATCAGGGAAACTTTGGTTGTTAGACTCCCTTCTTTCAATTGTCTCTCAAAACACATTTCCATGCTAAAGGTCTTTCTTATCTTTCAAACCATTACAAAATATCTCCAGAACATTTCATATTAATTGCTGCATTAATAGTCACAATTCTTACTAATGTTACTGGGAATTGCAAAGTGCCTTTTAAGATCACAGAAATGATAACGTAGATAATGTATTTTTAACCCCCCCAAAAAAGGTGTTTTGCAATATTATACTTAACCTATGTGGGTGACTTTTTTTATCAGTTAGTTTATGTTATAACATATTTTAATTGGACTTCTGGTTGGAAACAATCAGTTTTAAACTAAAAAAATCTGTGTTTTTTTTTAAATTGTATCTTGATTTTACACATTTTGTATTAATATACAGCTACAAGCTCTGTGCACAAAAAGAACAGTCTACTTTCAAAACTGTTGAATGCTTTGACCTCAAGGGCATAGAAACTGTTGACTCATTGTTTTTACTGCATATAATATTAGTCCTTTGTCACATCCAGGGAATGACATCATCTTCTTCATTGTTAGCAGCAGGTTTGAATAATACAAAAAGTGCAGCATTAGTTGTCTCTTGTATTTGCTCTTAATAAATGAATGGATATCTGGTACCAAGATTCAGATTAGGATTTTTGAGTAACATTTAGAACAAGTTTGTGCTCGTTCCCTGCAAGGAGCTTTGCTCCTGCCCATGGTCTGCAGGGCAGGCAGGCTGGCAGGAGCACAGAGCCTGCAGAGTGCATGTCACTGATGGTACTGCCTTCTCTAAAGCGATAAGGGGAGACAGGAAAGGAAGAGACTAGGCACAGAATGAAACAGATCTTTTCTCCAAGGTCACTTTAGTAAAAGGAATCCCTGAGCTTATGGGAATCATATTTCTCTGGAATCTAAAATTTTGCAAGGTAATTCTCTGAAAACCAGTCATGTCTAGGATGTGCTAACAAAATAGGAACTTACTAGCTTTAAAATGCACTGAGATAAGTATTTTATCCACTCTAAATTTGTACTAGTGTCTATTAGTCTTCTGCTGTCTATTACTAAAATGTCTATGCCCTATTCTTAAAGAGTAATTCCCCATTTGAACTATTTGCTGAGGCCTGCCTGCTTCATGAAGGAAGGATACACCGTTTTAGACATAGCAGTCAGAGTAGTGAAAGATTTCTTTGGGGTGATATGCCACCTTCTTGTATAGGATTCTGCAGAATTCTTTCCTGGCAAGGAAAATTTTAAGTGTTGCTTCCTGAAAAATAACTATTCCCAATGAAACAGAGTTTACTCAGAGAGATGCCTTGAGAGTCTGATAAAATGCCAAATCCTAAACTGTCTTCATTATCCACTGCCTTTAAGTTTTCCCAGAGAACACAAGATGGATTTAGCCATAAAATTACACTTTTGTGGTCCCAAAAAGGTTTTCTGATGAATAGAAGTTCCTGTGTGGACAGACTGAATCAAACTGGATTTTGAACAGTTATGAGAGAAGAACCAAGGCAGCAAGCTGGGAAAGTTGGAGGCAATGGGTTAAGGATCCAGGATTGCTTAATCGTGGAGGCCCGCATACCAAGAGTGGACTCAGGCAAAGGGGTACACACATGGAAATACTTCCTAGAATGCCAGAGCTAAAAAAGAGAAAACAAACCACGCTGTAAAGGATCAAATTCAGACCCACTGACTTAGAAGCAACAAGGACCTAATGGAGGGGCCTTTCTGCAACAAGCTTACCTGTGCTCATGCAGGTAGAGACAGGTTTGAGCAGGTGCATCCATCCCAATTCCTATCCCAAAATATATTCCAGATTTCATGCTTATCTCTTATGAGAAGACAAAAAAAGTTATGCTTTTTTCTTTCTATTTCATATGCTTTTGCCATGTGAAGCCTGACTTCTTTCCTGCTCCAGTCTACAGTTCCTCTTCAGTCAACATTTCCAAAAGATCTCAAGTAGCAGGAATTTTGCTAAGGCTAAATCACTCCATTTTCCCCTACCCTGTTTATGCTTTACTTGGACAAAAGCAGTAAGGCCAGCCATTTCCTTTCATCCCTTAAAAATTACTGACCACCTTTAAAGAATTTGGTCTCTCTTTTACGTCACCTTCCAGCAGCTCATCTGATTTAAACAGGCTGCCATGGCCAAGTTAAATGCTTGGGAAATAGACCATACAATTAATCTGCAGGGGTAACTTGTCTCAGCATCATTTCTCTTCCTTTCGAGGGGAATGCTGGCTCAAGCAAAAGAAAAGGTTAACGTAATCAT